AGATGCTCCTACGATCTATCAAATTTTCTATTAACACTTCAATCACTCACCAAAAATATACATTATTTTGTTGTCCCTTTTTCGATCATCTACCGACCGACCCTCCAACGCTAAAATGCGCTATCTTCTATTTCCCTCCTCTTCTTTGATCTCGTCTTGTTCTCTAACAGGCAAACAGCACTGATTTTAGCGGGTTATATGTTTTTCTTTCTTTTGCGGTTTCCGATGATGCAGACTAGGGTTTGGCGACCTCGGATCTTGTTATGGATGATGATTTATGGGAGTCTTCTGTGCGCAACCGCCGACTCTCATACTGTTTCGATTTGTCCAATAGAGTCTGTCAAAGATTGGATCTTTGGGTTTCGAGATCAAAACTGCGTCGTTTCTGGTGCTAATGAATCTCCCTGTTTCGCTGGTGTCACCGAGGTACGCCGACACTTTTATTTCTCCCTTGCTTTCAAAAGAAAAAATATCTTCTTGGAATTGAACACTCTTTTCTGACATTCCTGTGCTTTTTTTCTTTTTCAAGAAAAAGAAAAGAGAGTGAGCTTTATTGAAACTTGATACTGCGAATGCAACTAAATGAATTGGAATTGTAAAAAATATTCGATTGGAATTGACCCGTTTTTGTCAAGTTGTTTAATCAGAGCTGCAAGATGACACTGGAGAAAAATGATTTCAGATAAAAAAAATTCTATACTTTTGTCAATTTCGTGATTCTTGTGTTTGGGTTTTCATCCATGTTAGTGTATTCGGGTAGCTCATTTGGCCTTCTTTTTTCTTTTTCTTTTTTAAAAAAGTTTCGGGATTTGGCAATTTGTTGCCTCTTTTTAGATAGTCTTAGGGAAAATTAGTTTTATCTGCGGAAATGCATTATCTGTCTGTGGAAAGCAAAAGGCATGTCTGCTGAAATATGAAAGTGATACACCTGGTTGAACAGATTTAGAAGTTTGCTTTCTTGTGAATGAAAATGGTTGTGTAATTCTTAACGACATTTATGTTTGTTGTTGTGAAGGGAGACGAGATTTCGTTACAAAAGGCACTTAGTTTAGTTCAGAAGAATAGTCATGAATATGTAGCTCTGCTTTTCTATGCATCATGGTGCCCCTTCTCGGGTACTTTTAGACCAAGCTTCTCCATCCTTTCCTCTTTGTACCCTGTGATTCCCCATTTTGCCATAGAAGAATCATCCATCAGGCCAAGGTTTGTAAACTAAAAATATAAAATGCCGTCTTTGTAGATTCTTACCTGCTGTTGTGGCATCTTGTAGCCTTGGAGTAATTCACATTATTGATTTTTCTGCAGCATACTATCCAAGTATGGAGTTCATGGATTTCCTACTCTTTTCCTATTGAATTCTACGATGCGTGTGCGCTATCATGGCTCCCGTACTCTTGGCTCTCTTGTTGCTTTCTACGGTGATGTTACCGGTAAGGGCTTCCTTTCCTTATGTATTTTCAACTTAAAGCTTCCACTTCTAGTTTTTTTGTGATTGTTTCCTCTCTTCATCTGTTTATGTACAGAAGAGTAAGGTTGGCTTTATACTGGATTATTCAAAGTATGGAATTCCCTTCTCCTAACTGTTGATTGAGTATTTCGAATGACTATTAGTATGTAAACCATAGAAAATGGCAACACGTGCTCTTCTTTCTTAAAGAACATTCTTCTTTTATGCCTGTATTATATCGAGCTGTATTTCTACTGCGAGATTTTATCAGCTTATTGCTTGGTTTAGGTATCAAGACTGCATTCCTGGACGAAGGATCAGTGGACAAAATTGGACGAGCATCACACCATGAAAAATATGACACACCTGAGCAAGAAAGCTGCCCTTTCTCATGGGCAAGATCTCCGGAGAATTTGTTAAGGGAGGAGACATATTTGGCCCTGGCGACAGCATTTGTGCTTCTGAGGTTGTTTTACTTTACTTTCCCAACCATGCTTGCATTTGCACAATTTACTTGGAGGAGGCACGTGCAGAACATGAGACTGGGGAGCTTGTTAGAGCATCCTCGGGCTTATCTGAATATTAATCGAGCAATACAGCTATTTAATTCCCTGAAGGAGCCATGCAAGAAGAGTAATTTGCAGGAGGGGGCGATGAATGCCAGGGCTTGGGCTTCCAAGTCCCTTGCTACTGTTTCAATGGGGGATGCAAGCACCCGTAGGGGTGCACCTGTGAGTGAATGTCATTGAGCTTTTCTCTGGCGGAGGAATGGATATTGCACTTGTCAAAAAAGGTGGGAGGGGCTGACTAGGAATGTCCCAACAGAAAATTTGTGCGGACATTCTGTTTATGCCGAGCGGGCTTTGGTTCAAGATCATCTCGGCATTCCGGATGCTACGTGTCAGCATTTGTGACGACGAAGCATGTTGACGTTGTAGTAATACGTCTTCCATTTGTTTATAATTTAGAATACAATTTATATAGCGTTCATGAAGAAATAATTGGAACTCAATTTGTGAATAGATTGTACATGAGACTCAGATGTATTGTGGCCTTATCTTTTCCAAATATTATTCTAAGCAAGCATTTCAATCTGCGTCTCATACGATATTTTGAAAATTTTGACACTACGGCGAGGTTGCCCTCGCAAATTTATGACTATTTTGGAGAATGTAGTTATCCTTTTTTTAATGTATAATGTTTTTTGGTGGATTCTGTATTTCTATTGATTTTTAAATTATGCGACACTTGTTGACAGTTTATGCATTAACTCATAAAATGGGATGATTGTTTGAGAAATAAAAATATATATACTAAAAATAAACAAATCAAGGAAATTTGAATTAAAAAACCCAGACCAACGAAAACTACAAAAAAGGGTTTAGTTACAAATACTCTTTTGTTAGAAATTTATATTTTCTTATAAATATTTAATAAGATGGTATTTGTAATTAAAATTTTTTTATGTTTTTAATTTTATGTTAAATTCTCTTTGGTTCGGTGAGGTATTTTTTTGTGTTTTTTTTTAATTTTTTTAATATTATATTAATTTAGAATTGTTAATAATTTTGTTTTGGCAAGTTAAACCAGATTGACTGAGATTATTTTTTTAATTTATTTTTTTTAGTTTTATCATTTAATATCAAATTTATTATAAATTAAGTTTTATAATTTATTTTAATTAACTTTATATAAAATTATTATGATTATATAATTAGGTATACAGAGTGACAGGTTGATATAAACTGGTCCAATATATTATCATTTTAATATTTATTAAAAAATATCATTTTAAATATTTATTTTAAATAAAAAAATATTTTTATTGGTTATCCAAATTATCTTTAGATCCATTAAGATAATTGAGTCAAATTAAATAATTTTCATTCAATATTTTTCACTAAAACTACTCTAAAACATTTTTTTACATAAAAAAATATTCCGACCCAACATAACATGTGACAATTATATGGTAATCACTTTATCAACAAAGATTCTAATGATTTATTTCGAGTAAAAAAAAAATATAACAATAAAAAATCAAACAACATCAGGGTTTATAAGAATATTTTTAATTAATCTTAAAATGTATATTTTTTAACTATCTCTCCTTATGGTTATCTCTCTTCAGTATAGTAATTATTTTTAGCTATTTCTAGAATATTTTAAAATTCCCTGAAAATGTGTACATCAACTTTCATTTGTCAGTTAAAACTTTTTTCAAATAAAATCCTAGATATAAGTCGTTCTATCACTGCAACTCGAGCAAAGAAATAAAATATTGGAATGTAAAAAGAAATAATCTAAATACTAAAAAACTCTTGCAATCAAACTTGTTACAGTATGTTTCTAAAACTTAAAAACTCAAATGATTGCTTAGTTAACTTAGATTTTAAATTAAATTATGTTTCAATCATTCTAATATAATTGGTTATGACAAGTCTAAAGAAAAAATAAAAGAAATATATTTTGTTAACCTGTTAAATCTTATTATATGATAAAAATACAAAAACTAATTTAACATTAATTAAAAAAATTTAAAAAAAATTATATTAAAAGATTAAAAAAAACACAAAAAAACCTGCGCCCTTTGTTTTTCTTTGTATAAGGCCAGTCTTCCACTTTTTGGCTGAAATAAAATTTTGAAACTAGTAGGAATCAAATCTACGACCTCAACCGTCGATATGAATGCTTCAACCAGTTGAGTTATTGATAAATTTCTTAACAAATGCTTAAAATAATATTTTAACTTGATTTATTTTTATTTAAACAGTTAAACCATCATTAATTATTTTAATAATATCCTTATTATTGTTGATGTTATTATTTAAATAATGACTTTTTTTTCACTTAAATGAAAATTTAAATCCAAAATAGCAATAAAAATAGGAGCCACAGGACTAAGTCTCCATGGAGGATGGGATTACGATCGACACATCGACTGTATCTTGTAAAAATAATTTTAAAGCTCCTATACTTCACGTAATTGTTTTAAACTGTTGGTATATTTTTTGGACAGTTTTACGAAATATTTTTTTTTTCTTTTCTTATCGTCGGTAGAAATAGATCATTTATGCCAATTATATATATATATATATAAAATCATTCACAACCTAACTGTCAGCAAAATTTATTTAGCATTGAAATCCTAATCAGCAACTTGGGAGACAAATTTATTGACTATCCAGTTCGAAAACATTCGTTGACCATCCCTCCATCAAGCAACCCACTCACGACAAGACATGGGAGCCGGCCACCAAAAATAAATTAAATTTGAGAGAAATAATACTACGATCGAAAGCAAAAGGAAAACAAGAAGAAGAAAAACAATAAAGAATAAAAAAAATCAGACAAAAATCTAGAAGAAGGCGGGCCTTTTTGATCATCTATCAATCTAGCCCATCAGACAACCGTCAGCAGGCTATCTAGTCCACGTCACTGCCACCATGCGCGCACCAAAATTCCCATCCAACGGCCAGATTTCCCCGAAACCCTAACACGCACGGCTAAGATATCAACAAAATATCTCATAAACCGTATACAGCGCAACCCTACTCCAACGGCCCATTAGCGAATTACCAAAATATCTCATAACAGTTATCCATACCCCAAAAATCACACAGTAGAGGAGCGAGAGAGAGAACAGAAAGCAAATCGAGAATGGAGAAGGAGAGAGAGCAGCAGGTTTACTCGGCAAGACTTGCAGAGCAAGCTGAGAGATACGATGGTACGGCTACGTGTTCTATTTCATCGATCTTACAGTCTGCTCCCTTTTTTTATATGTATGTCCTGCTGATTTAGTGGATTATTAAAAGGGTGGATTTGTGTTTTATTACGTTGATCTAGTAGCTGTATTGACTGTTAATAGCCCTTTAGTACATTATCATATTTTTTTAGAAATCAGAATTATCATCAAGGAATTTCTGGACTTCTAATAGAGCTAAATCTGTCCCAAAAAAATTAGCATTTCGATTTGGTAGCGGTGTCTCTCTCTTTGGTATGTGGATGGGTTAAAAAGAGAGGCAGATAACGATCTTTATATATATATATATGGATTTGAATAATGCAAATTTTTCTTAAGCACCCAATGATGAAAGGGTATGCACAGTTCTTAAAGCGACAAGTGAGGAGACTAATCATTGAAGATGTGTGATTTATGTAGAAGGTTTCTTATTTCGATCTATTAGTTTTATTTCTGTTCCACTTGGCCTCATGTAATCGGTTGAATTGCTATCTTTACTTTCCTTTTCTTGAGAAAAATAAAATAAAATAAAATTTAGGTAAATTATGTTGAATAAGAAAATATAAAATGAAAGACTACTTGTTGCAGAGATGGTAGAAGCAATGAACAAAGTTGCAAGGTTGGATGTGGAGTTGACAGTGGAGGAGAGGAATCTGGTGTCTGTGGGTTACAAGAATGTCATTGGCGCAAGAAGAGCATCATGGAGAATACTATCTTCCATTGAACAGAAAGAGGAGGCTAAGGGGAATGAACAGAATGTGAAGAGGATAAAGCAGTACAGGCAGAGGGTTGAAGATGAACTTGCTAAGATCTGCAATGATATATTATCAGTCATTGATCAGCATCTCATCCCATCCTCCTCAACTGGGGAATCAACTGTCTTTTACTATAAAATGTAAGATTTATTGCAGTACCCCTTTAAGCTATTTCAAAATGTAGAGCAAATAATCCCAAGATGGATAACAAAATATGGTTTTCGAAGCCCTGTAAACTCCCTAACAATGAACGAAAAGCTATACAGATTAGGTTGGCTATTTTTTTTAATGGATTCATGCAACCAAATTCTTAGATGTACAGTAAGGATAGGAAAACAACAAGAATTCTGTAAACGTACTCCTTTTGGTAGTACATAATTAATGAATGAAGGAGATTTTAGGCTAATTACCTTGGTTGGTTTCTCTTATCCTGTCCTTTTGTTCATGACTTTATATGCATTGAATTCATTTTATTCATTCCACAGGTTTTGTAATCTTACTTTACCTCTATTTGAATCTATTTCTTATGTGGATCTTTTCTTGAATTCTTTTTCTCAAGGCAGGAAGGGAGACTATTATCGTTATTTAGCTGAATTTAGAAGTGCTGATGAACGTAAAGAAGCTGCAGACCAGTCCCTTAAGGCTTATGAGGTATTTGTGAACCTTCTTTTGTGCCAGAGTTTCTCTTCTTCTTTCTTCTGTCACTTTAAACCATTTTACTTACGAAGCTGACAGATCATTTAATCAGAGCACCACTCATGTTCTTCTTTGTGCTGCAGGCAGCAACCTCTACTGCTATCTCAGATCTGCCTCCAACTCATCCAATTAGACTTGGCCTGGCACTTAACTTTTCGGTTTTCTACTATGAGATTTTGAACTCCCCTGAAAGGTTAACATGCATCTCTTTCTTGCCTAACATACCGAAATATGACAAATTGTTTGCAAATACCGCATGCACACACATCCAGTTTGTCGAACTTGAGGGGTACTGTTAATTCTTTTGCTGTTAGCTCTGAATAATGTATCACATTTTTAAACTGCATCTGTATCGTGCAGGGCCTGCCACCTGGCTAAACAAGCATTTGACGATGCTATAGCAGAACTTGATAGTCTCAATGAGGAATCTTACAAGGACAGTACCCTTATCATGCAACTACTCAGGGACAATCTCACTTTATGGACCTCAGATCTGTCAGAGGAAGGAGGTGATATTCGAAGTGATAACCTGTTAATGGAATAAATATGAGTTTGACTGGAGTGTCGAGTCAAGACTTCCATTGTATATGGACATTGAACTGATGAAAATGCTATTTAATTTGGCAGGTGAGCACTCTACAGCTGTTGAACCCAGGGCAGAGGTAAAGCAAAACTGAGCTTTTATAATCTGTGTGTGTGTTTGTTTGTGTTGTTCAGAATCTAAACATGCATGCCTGCCTGCACATTGATCCAGGCAACACCTGCATACCTATGAAATATACTCATAGCATGTAAAGTGTATTCCTGGGGCCTTATTTATCTTTCATATTTTATCCATTTACTGCTCATCAGAATTAATTTTGCAGAATTAGTCAGGATACTGGAGATCAAGTCTTTTAAAATGCCAGAATGACTTTTTCAGTGGTAGCACAGGGAATGGTGGACCGTTGGCTTGTATCTATAGTTGAACAGATGTTTTAAGACTGTTGTGCCTTCTTTTCTCTTAGAACACTGGCAACTGGAATGATTGTGGTTTGCTTTTTTAAATTCACAGCTTTTAACAAATTTACACATTCTGTTTGTAGCACCTGGCATATTTTCCGTCCTGATTTGTAGATCTCTTGCCCTTTATGTTTTCCCGTTTGCTCAGTGGAAGATTCAGAGAACTCATCAATTCTACTTTAGATCGTCATAACCAGTTTATTTCCTGGTTCCTGTTGTCTGCAATTTATTCCACTCCTGAATAAGACTGGTTGATGATATAGGGGATTGCCAATGGTCTCTGAATAATGGTTCTGTTTAACGAACATGTTTTCCTTGAATGCGTGAAATGATCCTTGATGACGTGGATGGATAATGTAAAGGGAAAGTGGCAAATGAAGAGAAATTCTGAAAGTACATGAAAATGCATGATGGGAAAATTAAGTCGGTAGAAATCAAGACTTAAGATATTTAAGCTCGTAAAAGCGGGTGGTTGATAGCATGGAAACCATTGCAGTACACAAGCAATGAAGAATGTTAAAGAGCTCCAAAAATTTAATGTTGAAGAGCCCCAAAAAATTATTTTATCCCGCCATTCTACCGTTTAATGGTGCTGTTAGCCCTCAAATCGCTTTGGTGTTTGAAACTGGGTTGCCTGGAGGAGGCTGCAAATCGACCAGGAACGACTTCAAGAGCTTGATGAACTCCTTCGGCCTCTCTACATTGAAGGCATGCCCTGTGTTCTTGACAACCGTCAGATAAGCATTGTCCCCCAAATGCCTGTAACAGCACCGCATTATTTAGAAAAAAGTCACAAGCAAAATGGATGTTCATTCAATTCAGTCGATGCTAAGAGACCAACCTCTTCAATCTGTGTCCTAATTCCAAAGGAAAAACCCGATCATGCTCTCCCCAGATTATCAAAGTTGGCTGCATTGCAATTCAATGGCCTTCGCTATCATCATCGAGTGGTTAATTCAATCTTAAACCAAGCACATATAGAGAAGGATGATCAAACCTGTGTAAGCTTGGGAATGTCTGAGAGCCTTCGGTCTTTCGGAACAGCTCGAATCAAATCTCTTTTTTCTTCCACGTATTCTCCACACATTGCCTGGCCAAATGACCAAATTTTAAGTTTTACTCCCAACCGTCTACAGTGTATTATTAACCATACCATCTGAACATTAAAATGTGTCGGTGAAACTCCACCAAAACTAACTTAATGCAAATATAGTCTGGTGGATCGTCACACCCCTCTCTTCTAAACAAGATTATATTAATTTCAGACCACAAAACTACCAAAGCACCAAAAGTTCATAGCTCTTAATTGTGTTAAATCATAACTGTTGAATAAACTTAAACGTAGCGAAGAAGGAATTAGAGCACTCACATCAATGAAATCAGCCAAGAAACAAGATGGTATCAACCGCACAGGAGGTGGCCTGAAAAACGTATAGCCCACCAACTCTCTAAGCTTGTCAGGGCTCTGTGGCACCAGAATTCTTCCAGCCTCCTCCAAATCAGATACCGCAAAAACCCCTTCAATCAAGTCCTTCTCTTCCATACAAATCCCCGAGCAACATATCACCACTCTCTCCACGGCCTCCGCAAACTGGGCTGCCATACTATACCCGACAAACCCACCATAACTAAGCCCAACTAGACTAAACTTCTGCACCGAGTGGGCCTCCATGACTCGCATCAGACACTGGGCCTGGAAAGACTCGGTTCTCTCGGGCCGGGTTGTGTATGAATCCCCGAAAAACACAAGGTCCGGCACGTAGACGTTGAAATAAGGAGCAAAGTGTTGGATGACGTCACCCCATTGCCATAATGCGTTGGCTCCAAGGCCGTGGATTAGGAGGAGATCGGGTTTGGAGTCTTTTCGGGTCTTTGGCACCCAGCAATGCATTACAGTACCATCTTTGAGGTCTGTGATTTCGGATCGGAGCCCCGATCTTGTAAAAGTGGACCTGAAGCACCAGTTTTTGGTCCTTGTGAAACTGAAACACCTTGACATGCTCTGATTTGCAACACTGGCAAGAACTAACCAAGAAAGAAAAGAAAAGAAAAGGTTGCCTATGTTAATAATCTCATTAACTAAGAGTTTTTATCGGGATGTTTTATTGATTTCTTTTCCTTTTCTGGATCTTTAGTTTTGAAGTGCAGGTGAGACAGACAGAAGAAGCAAAAGACAAGTTATTTGTAAGTGGTGGTGCTGTGGAAAGAGCAGAAGAGGGTCCGGTGCAGTGCAGGCATGGCCATCAGTTTTTAAAATTTGAGGGCCCTAGCACCATAAAGGAAGATCGGACAAAATAAATAAGGGAAGGTAATAAAGATAATGAAGGATCATGCCACTTGGATCACATGTGTTAATTAATTAAGGTGATGGAATGGCTCCCAAATTAATTAAATCTTTTTCTTTTGCTTTTTCTGAAGAAAAAAGAAACAATACTATTGAATCTGTGTAACGTGTTCATCGATCGATGTTGAGCATCAGGTAAGATAAAAGAAAAGGAGATGCATGGAGTGAATAGTACTGCATCACATAAAACAAGTTAATAGTGTTTGTTTTTGCCGCAAAATTTTTAATTTTTTTATTAGATTAATTACTTTTTAGATGTTTTTGAATTATAATTATGTTAAAATAAAAATATATATTAAAAAAAACCTTTAAAAAACAATTTTTAGGTGATAAACAGGTAGGCTGCGGGCATGGCTGACAGTTTGGTAAGTGAACAACAATAAATGACATTTGGAGGACTGGTAGAAGCTACACTAAACTGATAGATATTTACCAGCAATGGCATTCATTCATTTGGACCACAAGTCCCTCATTTTTAGTCTCTATCCACGATGGATGGGCAGGTTTGTGTGGATTGAAACTATTTCATTAGCTGGTGCATTGCTGGGCAGCTCTCCATTTAAGTAATATTATTACTTGCTGGGCTCTACTGCCATGGATCCCTGCAATGTGATTTCTCAATGGTGGGGTTGCGTGCCTAGAATTTGAATACTGTTTATGTTCACTATGAGACTGGGTTGGTCAAATTGAAGATCCTATGGTCTTCATGTTGAAGAAATGGATTTCAAATGAATGGTGGTGGAGGAATAATTTATTTGTTGTGATTAAATCACATATTTAGAAGATGCATGCAACTGATTCTAGCAGTTAAAAACATGATTATGAGCAATATCTTATTCGTCTTGATGGCTTCTCTGTGAACTGGTGGCACGGGCACTTGAAGGACCTTCAATTTGACACTAATGATTGTTTATTTATTTATATATTATTTATTTTTTCTATCCTTTTTTATTCTTGTGCCATGTTTTTTTTGTACTTATTCTTCTAATTATTATTAAATAATTTATAAAATTATTTTTTTTAATTTCTCCTTCATTCAATTTTTTCATTTGTAAAATTCAGTTTCCATTTTTTCATTGCTATTTATCTAATTTAAGATAATTTTTAGAATTAATTTTTTTTTATTATTTCATCCATTTTTATTATTTTCCCTATACGATTTTATTATTATTATTTTAATTGTTATTTTTTTTCCTTTGAAAAATTATTTTTTGAAATTTACTCAAGTTTACTTGATTTTTTTTTATTATTTGTTGTAATATTTTTTTTAATCCTGTCATTCAACATTTATTTAATTAGTTATTGTGATTTATTTTTTTACCAACTTCGCGCCTCATTTGTTTTATTGGGTTATCTCAAAAAAAAATTAATTCTTTGTTAAATTTATTTTTTTAAATAAAATATAAACATGAGATGCTCACTTCAAGATATTTTATTTGATATGTTTTTGGATCATTGTTTTTATAATTTGTGTTTTTTTTTTTAGTATCATTATATAACTTTTTGCAATTGAGTTGGAACCTTCTTAATGAGATTTTCTTGTGATGGGTGATATTTATGATAGAATGATAATAAATTTTCAGCAAATTTTATATATATATATATATATATATGATATCAACATTTTTTTTATAATTAATTATTTTTTTCTTAGGATTTGTTTGCTATTATTGCTTATTTTTTAAATTAAATGATTAAATTATACTCTTGTTAGATACAATCAAGGTAATGATCTGGTTAAAAAAAAAACAGAGATTTTTAGATCACCCAATTTTTTTAAATCAAAGTATTATGTTTATCTTCTTTCACGTCAAGAAATTTGTACCTGTTCACGAAGTGGCTCCCGCTACAGAAGTAAGAGATGACGTGTGAATCATTTCCGTTACTAGGAGGGCAAGGCCAGGAAAATCACGTTTGCATACGAATGAATTTCCTCCTTGAGATCACCAAGAATAGATCCAACGGGTCATAATGCCTTAGGAAATTTTGTTATTTTTTTTAGTTTAGTTTATCTTGTAAAGGAAAAGGAACAATCTTAATCTCATGCCTTCCTCACTAACTGATCTGTCCACCCTCATTTACTAACATCATGGTTACTATATCTGGTCTAAATTGTAATCCAAAAACCACCATAATTATGAGATTGAAACAACATCCATTAGAGCACGAGCGCAACCATCGCAAGGGGTAAAGCACAGGGGGGGAACTACCTTGAAGGGAGGGCGGCGTGGCGCCCTCAAATTTTGAGAAAAATATGCATTTTAGTCCTGATTTTTTAAAAAAAAATCAATTGTCTCCTCCAATCTTACATGTTCTCAAATAATCTTACAAGCCAAGTGGCAGGAGGGATCAGTTAATGCCATGGACAAAAGTAGCATGATCAGTCCAAGAACTGCTCTCTCATGTACTTGTTTGCTTGTGCCTCCAGTCCTCATTTTCTGGTTCGCCTCTAGGAAAGCAGCAAAAGCTCAGCAACCACAGAATTAGTTTAATGCATAGCAAAACCAGAGGGACTTGGACTATCATTCATGGACAAATTAAGTCATGAAACTCATTCATGATGCTAATGTTCTTGTTAAATATATGATCTTCAATGCAAGAAAACGGGACAGACAACGGTTTATAGGACTAAAACAAAATTGCCGCAAATGAAATAAAGTACATTAAAAAAAAAAGATATATTGAGACGTTTTTGAAAATTGGAAATAAGAATCGAGATACATAGAGGGAACAAAAATCCCAAGTTGTACCATCGTTTTTTTGACCTTGAT